GGAGGAGGCGTGCTGGGAGGAGGCGTGCTGGGAGGAGGCGTGCTGGGAGGAGGCGTGCTGGGAGGAGGCGTGCTGGGAGGAGGCGTGCTGGGAGGAGGCGTGCTGGGAGGAGGGGAGAGAGGAGGGGAGAGAGGAGGGGAGAGGCTGTGGGGCGAGGCGGGAGAGGGGAGAAGAGGAGAGGCGGGAGGCGGCGGTGAGGCGGGGCCGGAGAGGGCGCGGGAGGCGGCGCGGCGTCGAACCGAGACGCAGCCGCCTCCGCAGCCGGTCGATGCCGCGGCGCCAGAGGTGTGTGTGCTTGCGGGGAGTGGCGCGGGGAGGGCGCCTGGGGCGTCAGCCGGGCGCGGTGCCAGATGTTCTCGATAAAGTCGAGGACGGTGGAGACGCTGGGGACGGGGTACGAGGGCGGCGGCTTCGTCGGAGGCGGCAGCTTGCGGAGCATGTACATCGTCGGCATCGGCAGCGACTGCGGCAGCAGCGGCGGCCGCACCACCCGATAGCGGTCCTCTGCTGGCACCTCTGTGTGGGTGTCTTCGCAGAAGAGCGGGTGCGTGATGTTCTGCGGGCCGTCGTTGTCGCGGATCCGCCGGTAGAGCACGCTCGATACCGATCGCAGCAACGCCAGGTAGTCTGGCTCCACGCAGGTCGACTCCGTCTCCAGCTCCGGCGGCCGTCTCGCTCGCTGCGGGTGCCGCTGGTCCTTCGCTCCGACGTCTACAGGCGCTGCCGCCGGCTTCGCCGCCTCCATCCATGGCGGGAAAAGGGTGCTGCCGGGGCCTGCGTCGGGGGCTGGCGTCCGCGGCGGCATCGAGCAGCACTCGGGGCCGCGAGCTATCACAGTCGGGCCGGGTTTCTCTTTTTTCGACTTCTTTTTTTTCGACTTCTTTTCTTTCGGTGTCCTTTTGAGCTTGTTGTGTGTCTGTGTGACGCTCGCGCGTGTCCCCGCGTCCACCCATACCGCGTTGGTGTCCAGTCCGAGCCTGACTGTTCTTCACCTTCCTTCAGCCTTCCTTTGAGCACTTGAGCACTGGATAGGGTCGATTCCGCATGGATGGTACGGGACCCCTCGATCGTCTCGCCCTCCCTCGCTGGTGTGTTCATTGAGGGGGGTCGTAACAACCGAGAGGACCCGAGGAGAGTTCGCACAAAGTAGAAGAGCAACGTCGCTCGTCGCCGCGGACGCGCAGCTACTCGCTTGTGTGGGTAAACGAAAAAAGTAGATTTGAATCCGTCCACGTACGGCTTAGTGTGTTAGTGAGTGGTTGGGGTGGCCTCAGGCATCCCCAAGGGAGCCTCTGCGGTGCCACATAAGCAGCTTGGTGATTGTCGAGACTTTGAAGGATTCGTTTGAAGAAAACGCAGACCCCCTATCCGGCTTGGAGCCGGAACCCTGTCGCCCGCATAATCGATGTCGATACACATATGCCGGTCATCGTGAAGGGCTGCCGCGTCGAGATCACGGGACTCACGGGCCGTGTCGAGCTCAACGGCAAGCTTGGCACCGTGGCCGAGTTTCGCGCCGGCCTTCCGAGCGCTGACCTCATCGAGGACACCGGTCGATGGATTGTGCGTTGCGATGGAAGCGGGAGGTCAATTCTCGTCAAGACTGTCAACCTGAACGTCATCGGCGGTCCTTGCGCGAGCGACGTGCAGCCCGAGCCTCCCGCCCGTCCTGCGCTCATGACGATCTACATGTCCAAGTTGCGTGACGACGTGTACTTCTCCGAGCTGCTGCTGAAGGCCAAGGCGATCGCCAAGGACGGCACAGCGATCCAGTTCGCACTTCACGCTGACCACCTCGGCGACAAATACTCGGGCCTCCCAATTTGCCCACCAGCCTTCTCCACATTTGCCGAGGTCAAGAATGGGCTTGAGAAGATGCGGGAGATGATGTCTCCACGCGTCCAGCGCAACCAGGCCCTCCAACGCGACATCTATGAGCGAGGAGGGGACCTCCCGGAAGACATCGCGCGTCTTCACCAAAATGCCGACGCTGCTTGGGAGATGTACAACAACCGCAAGTAGAGGCTAAGAGGCGAGACTCAGGCTCGGGATGGGTGGCCCAAAGGCGAGGCGTCGTGTGTTTACGTGCGTGCGCGCGCCCGTTGGAGAGGGGGTCGTTGCAATTTTTTGGCGGCGCCAGGCACGTGCGCACGTCCTCCGGCGAGCGAGCTCGTGCCGCCTCGCGTTTTGCGCGAACGCGCAAGTGTGGACGCGTGCCCAGCTGCGCGCGGGCGGGCGGGCCCCGCCCCCGGCTTCGTCGCGGTGTGGTGCAAATAAATAAATAAAACGGACACCTCTACTAGGAGATGGGTAAAAAGGAACAGGTCCCCGCCCTTGCGATCTTTGTGCAGGGTTCTTTGTGGGTGTGGTCGGCGGCTAGCCGGGGTCGTCCTCCCGATGGGGGACTAGCACTAGCCGTCTTCCACATGGTCCCTCGGGTCCCTGCTGCTCCTAATCTCTTCGTACATCCTCCTGCTGATCTCCGCAACGTCCTGCTCCCTCCCTCGTCTCGCCCTGCGCGACTGCTCCGCCTCACCGTCGTCCGCCCTGCGTCGTCTGGTGACGGGTCCTCCATAGTCGGTTGAGGTCGCCGCCCTCCTCGTGCCTCTTCCCAACGTTCCCTCGGCGGTCGATGCCGTCTGGTCCGCCTCCGCCGTCCCCGGGTCTGCCCTGCCCTCGTCTGCACTAGCTTCTGTTTCGTCATCACTGGCGCCTCTCCTCTTCTTTCTCCTCTTCTTGTATGCTTTGTACATCGCGTCGATTCCTTTTCGCGTGAGCACCATCCTGAAGCTCGCCCAGCAGCGGAACCGCTCCCGAAGTCGAAGGAGCATCATCAGTCTCACCCACTTCGCTCTCTGCCCACCGTCTCCGCTCCCTCCCGCTTGAGCCGCCGTCGTGGCCCTCGTTCGTCCCACTGGCTGTTGGCCTGTCTGCACGTTGCCTCCGTTATCCCTCCTCCTCCGCGACTCCCTCAAGGCCGGGCGGGCCTCCTTCCACCCAGCGAAGAGCTTCCTCAGCCACTCGATGTGTTCCTCTCTCTTCATTATGCGCGCCGTTGCTTCATCATTGAGCTGTATCCACCTCTGCACCGCTCCCGTCGCCGCCTCGGCCACGACTTGCAAGTTCCGGTGTGGTGCAACATGCGCGCGCAATTTCTTTTTCTAACAGTCATCGCGGTCCTAGCTTTCGGCCGAAAAAACACGATAGTCGATACTCTCGCGTCTCGGTGGGAGCGGCGTCAGCGTATGACATGATGGTGGCGTACGCGGGGAGACACGCACCGTCCACCGACGGCGACGCGACGTATGTCTCGTTTGTGTGTCCGCGAGAAGGAGAACATGGGACTAGTGCGGTGGGTGCAGGGTGCGGGCGGGGGCTCAGGGCCCCAACTGACAGCGCGTCCCTTCGGCCACCGAAAGTACACACCCATTCCCTCTGCCGAAACCGCAGCCGAAGCAGAAGGAAACCACGCCCCGCCGCCGCAGCAACAGCAGCAGGGACAAGCGCGGGCGAAGGCAGGCGAAGGCCGCCGAGGAGGCGGGTCAGGTGAGCTGCACGGAGCCGTCAAGGACCTGACCACATTGCGAGCACCGATCACTGGCTACGAGTGAGCGTGAGAGCGGCGGCGC